AAATAATACTGCAGTGAACACAAGGTTGCATATATCTTTTTGAATTAGTGTTTTGGGTTCTTTGGATAAGTACTCAAAAGTGGGATTGCTGGGTTTTGTGGTAGATCTATTCTTAATTTTTTGAGGAACCTCCATATTGATTTCCATAATGGCTGCACCAATCTGCAATCCCACCAACAGTGCACCAGTGTTCCCTTTTCTCCACATTCTCACCAGCATTTGTTGTTTGCTGATTTATTGATGATGGCCATTCTGACAGGTGTATAGTGATATCTCATTGTGGTTTTAATTTGCATTTCCCTGATGATATGTGATGTTAAGCATCTTTTCATGTCTATTGGCCATCTGTCTGTCCTCTTTGGAGAGATATCTATTCAGGTCCTCTGACCATTTTTAAATTGGATTGTTTGTTTTTTTGATGTTAAGTTGTATGCGTTCCCTATGCGTTTTGGATATTAACCCCTTTATCTGATGTATCATTGGCAAATATCTTCTCCCATTCAGTGGGCTGTCTTTTGTTTTTTGGTGATTTCCTTTGCTGTGCCAAATCTTTTGCTTGATGTAGTCCCATTTGTTTATTTTCTCTTTTGTTTCCCTTGCCTGAGTAGATCAGAAAAAATATTACTAAGAGAAATGTCAGAGAGTTTACTGCCTATGTCTTCTTCTAGGAGTTTAATGGTTTCAGGTCTATATTTAAGTCTTTAATCCATTTGGAATTTATTCTTATATATGGTGTAAGAAGGTCATCTAATTTCATTTTTTTTGCATGTATCTGTCCAGTTTTCCCAACATCATTTATTAAAGAGATTGTTTTTACCATATTGTATATTCTTGACTCTTTTGTCCCAGATTAAATGACCATATAGGCGTGGGTTTATTTCTGGGCTCTGTATCTTGTTACATTGATCTATGTATCTTTTTTTATGCCAGTACCATGCTGTTTTGATTACTATAGTTTTGTAATATAGTTTGACATTGTAATATAGTGTGATACCTTCAGCTTTGTTCTTCTTTCTCAAGATTGCTGTGGCTATTCAGGGTCTTTTTTGGTTCCATATAAATGTTCAGATTATTAGTTCTAGTTCTGTGAAAAATGCCATTGGTATTTTGATGGATTGCACTGAATTTATAAATAGCATTGGGTAGTACGGGAATTTTAAGGATGTTAATTCTTCCTATCCATGAGCACGGTATATGCTTCCATTTATATAGTTTTCTGAGTACTGGTCTTTTACCTTCTTGGTTACATTTATTCCTAGCTATTTTTTAAAATGCAATTGTAGATGGTATTATTTTCTTAATTTCCTTTTCTGAGGGTTCATTATTGATATATAAAAATGCAACCAATTTCTGAATATTTATTTTGAATCCTGATATTTACTGAATTCATTTATCAGTTCTAATAGTTGGTGGAATCTTTAGGGTTCTCTACACAGTATCATGTCATCCGCAAATAATGACAGTTTCACTTCTTCCTTTCCAATATGGATGCATTTTATTTCTTTTTTTCTGTCTAACTGTTGTGGGTAGGACTTCCAATATTATGTTGAATGAAAGTGGTGAAAGTGGACATCCTTGTCTTTTTCCTGATCTTAAGAAAAATGCTTTTAGCTTTTCCTCATTGAATATTATTTAGCTGCAGGTTTGCCATATCTGGCCTTTATGTTGAGGTATGTTCCCTCTATTCCCACTTTGCTGAGAGTTTTTAACATAAACAGATGCTGGATTTTGTCAAATGCTTTGCCTGCATCTATTGATATGATCACGTAATTTTTATCCTTCATTTTGTGTATGTGATGTATCACATTAATTGACTTGTGGATATTGAACCAACTTTGCATCCCAGGAATAAATCCCACTTGATCATGGTGCATGATTTTTTAAAATGTATTTGGTTTCCTAATATTTTGTTGAAGATTTCTGCATTTTTGCTCACCAGGGGTATCAGCCTATAATTTTCTTTTTTTGTGATATCTTTGTCTGGTTTTGGCATCAGGGCAATGGTGGCCTCATAAAATAAGCTTGGGAGTCTTCCCTCCTCTTGAATTTTGTAGAATAGTTTGAGAAGGGCAGGTGTTAACATTTCTTTGAATGTTTGGTAAAATTCACCTGTGAAGCCATCTGGTCCAGGACTTTTGTTTGTTGGGAATTTTTTAACTACTGATTTGATTTCATTAGTAGTAATCAGTTCAGATTTTCTGTTTGTTCTTGATTCAGTCTTGGAAAATTGTACGTTTCTAGGAATTTATCCATTTCTTCCCGATTGTCTAAAAATGCTGCTTTAAAAGGCATTTTCCTTGTAAGGATGCAACCTGTGTCCCTGACATCTGGGGCTTTGGTTTTGATTGAGAACCTCCTGTCTAAAATGAGTAGAGCAGAGCTGATGGGGTAACGCTTATCTTCATTGCAAGGGATGCGGCGCTATGATACCAAAGCTGTGAAATATATTAAAACTAGCTTTTTGGCCTAGAAAATAATTACTTTTAGTAATTTTTCTATGAATGATTTAAGAAGAATGGGTGGTTCCTAATTCTCCGGTGCAAGGTTCTATTTATATCCATTAAATCAAGATTGTTAATTTGGTTCTCAAATCTTTTATATCTTTACTAATTGTTTTTGGTTGGTAGATCAATCAATAGTTGCGTGTTGATGTCTCTCACTTTGATGATATATTTGTCAATTTCTCGTCTTTCTATTCATTTTTGCTTTATTAATTTCTTTGATTTATTTGTAAGTATTTTATTAGGTGGATGCACATTTAGAATTGGTATATATTAATGGGGAATTGAAACTTTTACCATTATATGGTGATGTTCTTTTTCCCTAATATTACTTTTGTTTTAAAGCCTATTGTGACTGATATTGACAATTTGTTTTGGTTGGCAAATTTAGTCCATATTAATTTATTGTGCTTATTGATATATTTTAAGTTGTTTCTACCATCTTACTTTGTTTTCTATTTGTCCTACCTTTCCACCTTTCTGTATGTCTCCCCACAACTTGTTTTCTTTATTTTTGACCAAATGAGTTTCTTTTTTAGTTTTTTCATTGCTTTTTTCTTTATACTGATTAAAAAGTTACCCTCTTTATTTATGTTCCTTAGTGATGATCTCACCACTCTTCCAGTTTCAGTACAAACTTCTGTTTTTTTAGACTTTGGAGACTCTTTTCACTCTAGAGAAGTTTGCAATCATTGAAAACTGTTATAATTATAATTTACCTAGGAATATATCTTATAACAAGTAATTCCAATGAGTAATTTTACAACAAAAATTACAATTAATTTATCTTGTATTTTAAAGACTGGGCACTTAGGCTATCTAGTCTATACTATAGCTGGAATTAGAGGTCTAAATTATTAGCATACTTTGGCTTAAGTTACCTATGAGTTGAAGCTGAGATTTCTTTCTCTTTTAATACAGATTTGGTCATTCCTTCTTTTTATCCTTACTCCCCCTCTCTCTTCCTTCCTGCCTCCATCTCTCTTCCTTTTCTGCCTTCCTTCCTTCATACCAAACATACACTGAGTGTTTATTATATACTTATCTATGTTCTAGCCACTGGGAACAAGATATATTGAAATGCTGCAGAGAGGCATCTAGTTTTCTGAAAGGCATTCTGGTTGCAACTCTTTATTATTTTGCTAATTTGATAAAAACATTTATCAGACTCGAGCACATAATGATATTGGATTACACATTCACTTTCAGGCAATATTTACTAGAATTGATGCCTTATTCAGTTTTCTATATAAATTAGTTACTTATATTAAACTAAATATGTACTTAAACTAATCCACATTCTAAAAGGAATTGCTTATAGATTTGGTTATAAACTTTCCAGCAACAAGACATTCTGTGTGTGTATGTTTTCCTAATCAGTGGGCCTTCTGACTTTAAATTTTGAAAATCAGTTCCAGTTAAAAGTTCAAAAACTGTTGCTATAATCCCTCATACACCTCCTGCTCGCTCCAGGTGGTGTGTAATTTGTGAGGTACCTTCACTCGCTTTGCAGTGTCCTGTAATTGCTTTCCTTCCCAAGGCTGCTGCGAGTTGCCCTTCAAAGTCATGCTGGGACCTGCTCTTTTCCATTAAGGACATCGCCTTAGAATATGCTCAATGTCATTTCGCTGGAGCAGAAAGTGACTGGGGTCTACCTTAGGCCAGACCCTAGTAGCTACCAAAAGGAAATCTTATTATCAAATAACCCAGTTGCCATTACTGAGTCCTGATCTGCTGCACTAAATTTTTCAAATGATCTCTTCCATTCTTGGGATGCTTGCATGTCTAATTGTCAAGTTTAATGTATGATCCTTGTTACTCTCTAAGTGTCTAATTGAGTTAGTGGTTATAGCTGACTCATAAACCCATAAAACCCTTCAGTGGTAAACTAATTAGCCACTGCACCTGCCCTCCAAACAATTAATACTGTTCATTACTAGCAATCAGCACTGGAGATATTAAAAGTTACCTTAACACTCAGTTGTCTGAAGCAGAGGCTTTCGAACTTTTTGGATCATGATCCAGAGAAAGAAATGCATTTGCTAAGTCAACCCAGGATGCACACGCACACACACACACACACACTCACACACACACACGCACACACACGCACACTCACATACAAATGCACGCGCACACACACGCACACGCACACTCACACACACACTCACACACATGCACGCGCACACACACACACATTCACATACACACACGCACGCACTCACACACAGGCACGCACACACGCACACTCACACTCATACACACATGCATACACGCACACTCACACGCACACACACCCATATACTAAGTATGACAGACTCTGGTATTTTCTATCCTGTTCTCTACTTTACCCGCCTTCATTGAAAAACATCCTACTGAAGAGTTTTTACTGTTGATTAATGGGTTGTGAGTTGCAGTTTCAAAACACTGGCTTAAGAAAACTCATCCGCTGAAGTGGAAAGTTAAGACTCTGCGGTTTCCTACAGAACGAGAACTTACTTGTTTCCTTCGCCATTATACACCCATTTCGTAGTTCCAATTCCTTCGTAGTTGGAAGCCCAGTAATACATGCAGGCATTCACGTGCAGAGTAAACAGCAGGTATCCTGTTGTGCGGACGACTCTGCAAGGAGAATGGGAGCGAAGCATGGCCTCAGGTGGCTTCTGGGACACAGCCTGCTGACCACTTCCTTCCCCTCAGCCTCCACACAGCCCCCAGCTTTAAATGTGGGAGCGGTTCCCCTTCATTAGCTCAGTGTAAAGGGACAGTGTCCTGGTGTGCTTTCTGACCGGACGCTGTAAACAGATCTTTCTCTCTCTGACTGACAGGATGAATCCCCTCGCCGAAAGACACCACCAAGAGTCACCTTCCACGTTGAGTCCCACCACACACACCCGCTGATTGAACTGGTGTCTCGGACAAGCTCAGGGGGCTTTACGCTACGATTAACTGTGACTAGGGGTCTCTGTGCACGTAAGGTGCAGCACAGCAAATGAATGAAATTCGGGGTATGATGAATTGTCATGAGAGAGACGGCAATTCAGCTTGTGACAAGGCATGTGTATCTGCGCCTGTCCTGACAGAAGATGTAATTTGGCCTTTTTAGTCCTGTCTTCTTCTAAAAGCAAATATGATTTTCATACTCTTATCTCGCTTCAAAATATTCAAGTCTGTTTTTGAACATAGCCTTACATTTTAGGCAGCCTAAAATATGAGACTCCCCGCTTCTCTTCTGCAGGGAGGTGCGCTCTTCCTGTGTGAAATGCTGCCCCCACTCGCTGTTCTCTCTCCCACCCGAAGCAGAAGGAGTAGTAGTTACCTGTAGACATACGCCTTGTCCATCAGAGACTCTAGGCGATGATTAAACTCAAAAAATGAAGTGTACTATGCAGAAAACAAACGAAAAAAAAATCCCAAAGTGTGTTAGTCTTAAAGATGTCTATCGAAATAAAACTATATGCAATAGATTTTATTTGTTACTGAAAATATTCCATTCACATGTCTATAAAACAACTAGGTGTTTAGCAGTATTTCCTTCTAGGCAGTCCCTGTGAGTGTGGTGCCCAACTTCCAGAGCTTCCTGTGGTATTTTATTTCTACCGTCTAGTGAGTCTCGTTTATAATGTTTACTGAAAATCAAGCTTAAAAGCATTTCTTTCCTTTTTCTTTTTAAAGCATATAGTAGAACTCTCTTTTACAATAGTAAAAAGCACACTCCCCCAGAAATAAGAAAATAGGGAAAGTATAACATAATACACTGAAGTCATCAATAGGTGCTGAGCCCCATAGATCTATGCTAGCATTACTTTTAAGGAAGTAGCATTAAATGCGTATTTATTTCAACAAGATTTAAAGTCCAGTACATACGAGCATTGGTTAGCAATTTGTGACATTGTTCGAAAGGATAATGAGTTTATATACATCTAGTCCAAACGGAGCTGCTACTTCCCTCCAGGTTTTTCCTGCTTGCGTCTCCTATCTCAGCTCCCAGTCCCGACACGCGTGCCTTCCGCACCGCCTCTTTTTGTAACTCTGGGCAGTAGAGCACAAGGGTAAGAGCACGGAACCTCAGACACCTTTGCCAGTTACTAACTGTGCGACCTTGGTTTCCTCGTCTGTGAAACGGAGACAATAAGCGGACAGGCCTCCTAAAGGGGTTCCATGAGCACATGACTTAATGTATCTAATTATTTAATGTGCTGAGACTCACAGGATCTAACAGCTAGGAGGGACTACTAGAGATGATTTAGTTCAAAGATTATTTAGTTCAAAATTTCATCCAATGCAGTTATGACTGTAATAGGACATTCGGAATTAAAAAAACAGATTTAATAGTAATGATTCTAACTAGAAATATATACAAATGGTTGTCTTTCCAGAATTCCTGAGTTGGGAAAGTCCTTCAAACATTCGGATTTAGATAATTTCAATTTCTGGTAACTTGTTTATTGTGCTCTTAATAGAAATTTGCACCAAGGCATGTTTTAAATTTTAGCTTAAGTGTTCACTAAAGAGAAAATCTATATTCTTACTCTTTTCTCATATATAACTTGGAAATGGATAAATGCTACTTTCCCCAGAGACTTGGGTACTTACTTCTATGTGAAATTACTGCTATGTGAAATGCGGACTATGGGGCAGTGAGGCTATGAAAAGACCAATATTGACTTTCAGGGTCATATGTTGTTTACAAAAACCTACTGAATATAGATGGATTTTGGACTCCCTAGGGATTCAGAGATGGGGTGTGAAAAGTTGGCAATTTTTAAGCTTTTAGGATAATGCCAGACAAAATCCCAAATCCACAGGAACCTGCGTCTTTCTGAAAGTTCATAATCTCTGAGCTGGGGCTGCCTGACACTTGGACGTGAGACTAGAAATTCGACGGCCGTCCCACTAAGCGCTTGAAATGTTACATTCTGCCCCAGTCTAGACTCACATTCCATGGTCGCATAGTTGAAAAACAACAGCAAACGCATACCTTCAAGTCTTGCTCCATCTCCTGCCTATACCCTCCAGATTTTCCCTCCTGCCTCTCGTCCCCGCCTCGGTTAACCATTTTTATTAGATTTTTTTGTAGCCTTCCACTATTTATGTAAATATAGAAAAGTGGAGTATTTTCCCCTTTCTGTTATACAAAAGTTACCCATTGCTCTCTTAACTGCTCTGTAACTAGCTTGTTTTTCAACTCAGTAATTTATCTTGGCGGTCTTTTCATACCAGTTCATAGAAAACTTCCTCTTTATGCATTTTTTTGTATTGCAAACTGTATTCTATCATATAGCTATACCACAATTTATTTAACTAGTTCCCTGCTGATGGACGTTTGAGTTGTATCCAAGTTAAATAATTTTATTATGCAAAAATATGTTTGCATTTTTTCTAGAATTATACAATTTTATATGAGTAAGACAAACTAGAGGCCATCTAATCTAACTTTCTCCTTTTGCAGCCAGAATTCTAGGCATTCAGTGACTGGTTAATAAAAAAGGACAAATAGAAAATAATAAAATTATAAAATTCATTTGTAATTATAGTTGTATTTATAATTGCCAAAGCGCTCCTATCTTAGATTATAAAAACTTCTGTTATGAGATATAGAATAAAAACAACCAAGGGCGACTTCCACCAGTAGGAACAATGATTTTTTTTCCTGCATTGAATTTTAAAATTCATAGCATTGATAGGGGAGAAAAATGGAGGATGGTTTGGGAAAATTAAGAGTATTATACTTTTAGGATATTTTAAATCAGTTTAAGATTTCCATTATTATAAGAAGAAATGACTATTAAGATGAACAATATAGTTATCTTACCTTTAATATCCTATTTGTCCTAAATATTGGATTAAATCCAAAGAAGAAGTAGAAAACATCAAACGGCATTACTGATGCGACGTCCAGCTGTTGGAAGAGCAGAGTCATAGTTATGCTGTGCGCACGTGCTTTCTGCATGTGGACTCATTGGTACAATGTATGTCAAAGCTGACCCGTCACCACGGAGTCTCTGCTGCTTCATATAAAACTGCCTTCAGTTACACAGGCATGGTGCCACTGGAAGGCATATTAGCTTCATGAAAATGAGAATGCTATTCTGCTGCCTTCTTCCAGTGTGTTCCATTTGCACCTTCATGCCTCTGATTGCTCCGGAGGCACAGCATTTTTTGGGATCTTTGTTGCGCTGTCACATATATTTCAAAGATGGCCTGGCTGCTAATGTTAAAATACATTCTAATAGTGTTTTAGACATGGGGCTCTTGGACTAAAAATCAAGTCTATTCTTGATTTTATTTGACACTATAGCACATTCATTGCAGTGATGTATTTTTATGTTTCGGCCAATTCCCCGGGGTCCGGGACTGATTATCTTGCTGGTGGTTCATCTAGACTCGTTCATTCTTCCTACTGCTGTCTATTTCAGATCATACTGCTAACAGCACACTGAGAAAGTGTCTATCAGTGACTGCAGGCTGAGAGGAAAGCAAAAAAATCAGGCCTATTTACGAGTAATCAGCAGCTCCGATGGCAGAAGGTGTTACAAGCACTGTTATAGCTAAAAATATATATTTTTGAATTTGTCATATATTTAAATTAGTCTGGCTTTCTATTACTCTGGCAATTGTGAAATCATAGTATCATACTTGCATACTCTCCTGACTGCAAAAACAACAATAAAAATTCTTTTATGTAAGATAAGTACTCATTTTCATTAATTTTTCCATGGTATTGAAAGATAGGGTATATTAAAAAACATTTAATTGATTTAAGACAATTAGGAGCAGTTAAAAGCTTTCTGTAAGGCCATACATCTGAAATGAAGAGTTGAGGTAATTAACTGTGTACCAGAATTTCACAATAGCCTCGTACTATTGAAAAGCAGTAGAACTTTTGGTTTGAATGATCTAGATTGGCTATTACAAACAAAGTACTTACTAAAAGTACTGGTTTAGAAATGACATCATACTATCAACCCCACTGATTTTTTTCCCCACAGATACTGAGCCTGACACAAGTTGAGGGGTGGACAGAACGGTTACTAAGGTAACGTCTGACAAACTAGAGCAGGCATGCAAGGCTGACCAGTCTTATCTAGAGCTGTTCCAGCACCAGAGCTTTCTGGCTCAAATCATAATGATCTTGTGTTTTAACCTGTAAAATAACTGTATGAAGACTAACATGTCAGCACGGCGATCTTTTTCCTTGCTGTCTACACAACTGCTCAACTGCTCACTTGCCTTCTCTGTGCAGACTGTCATTAGTTGTGTTTGATGGTAACTAACACATTAGCGTGAAGACAGAGGATTCATTTCTCAGTGAGTTGTAGAAAACGGAATTGAGTGAGTGCTGACCAACACCATGCTCTGTACAAGGCGCTTTGCAAAGCATGGTGGTTGAAACAGGAGGAAGGCACAATTTCTGTCCACCAGAAATTAGCATTCTAATAGTGGAATAGTCAAGCCTAAAAATAGCTAACACAGTGACGTAACACAGGCAGGATGTCCGAAGGGAATTCAAAAGGAGGAGTGACCACAGTTAAATACATGTAAAATCGTATATTTATAAACTCAAATTAAATACATGATTTAATTTACCCTGAAATTTAAGACAATGACTAAGAGTTTGGAATAAGCTTGTCGCACTTACAAAGGATATTGGTCCTCTTTGTAGAGTTCATTCAAGCAATGTAGGTGTTCTATGAATATGTCTGGGTATGTGGATATTTTTTACAAAGAAAATTAGTTGGAGGGGAAAACAAATTGAAAGGGATTTTAACACCACAGATCGTCAATAGGGACAATTTGCTAGCTAGACACAGATTTGTAAACAAAATTTGAGGCCACTAAAGTGTTGCCCTTGAAACCTGTTGTTCTTACAGGTTGGGTGACCTTGGATAAGTCCCAAAACTCTGCCTGTTTTTTAAGAGTTACAAATAAAAGATAATACTTGGTTGTAAATAATTATCGGTGAAAAAACATAGTTATATTGGTATTTGAGGAAAGGAAGATGCCATGTCATTTAAATAATGGTTCTTTTCTATTTTTTTATTTTGCTTATATGAACAAGAAAGAAACAGGAGTAGAAGCAATTTTCTTGGCTTTTACGTCATCATGCTACGTGAATCGGAGGCTAGCATTCTGTGTGGACAAGACAAGGCACACCCCATCTTCCTTCACTGACGTTTAAATCAGAATCAGCGTGGGCACGGACATTTTTTCCGCCTAATAAAGACCCACGTGTTGACTTGCACACTTGCTCATATAAGCAAGTGTGTCCTGTAACTCCTGAGAAGCAAAACCTCAGGCTTGCCTTTGTCTAATAAAACTTCATCTGTTTAAACTTGATTACAAAGGCTATGATTCTGAAAGAAAGTAGCTTTTTTGGTAGAATCTAATTGGCAATGGATTGTTTGAACAATTTCCAGATCATAAGGCACCTACCTGAAATTTTATAGAACTCCTATAGTGCCTCATCAGCTCATGTGAATCCACCTGAAATATATTTATATTTCATATTAATTTTACCCAATTTCATCAATTATTTTCTCACTTTAATAATATTTCTAACTATTTTTTTTCTACTGATTCCTTCCAACTTCAGCCTATAAATATGCTCTGTCCTCTAATATCTTAAAACAAAAATAAGCTATAAACCTGACTTGGTGTTTTTCTTTGTTTCTGCCCTCTTTCATTACACTGAAGCTTCTTGACAAAGCTGACTTCATCACTTGACTCCACATCCTCCCCTCATGTTTATCCCTCAACCTGTGGCAATTTGGTGCAATATGACTTTTGCTTACTCCTCTCATTCCAGTGAGGCCGGAAGTGTGAAAGCCACCCAGGGAACCCTTCACAGTCCTTAGCATTCTTTACGGCACTCGCCATGTTTTGAAATCACACATATATTTCTGGGTTCATTTATTTGAAATCAGTTGATTCCACTAAATGGTAATCTATCTCAGGATAGTGTTGATTTTGTTCAGCAACTGTATCTAGTTGCTAGAATATACTAGGAGCCCCAAAAATATTTGTTGAGTAGATGAATAGGTAAAGGAATGAAGAGATGATTAAAACTTTTTGAAGCATTTGACATTTTTGGGGGATAATTATGTCCTTGAAACTTTCTCTTTCTAGAGAATTGAATGCCACTCTTGGTTTACTTCACTTCTGCAGTTCCATCTTTTTAGTGTCCTTAAATTCTGGGACCGGCCATTTAACGTCAATATTCCCCAGGGTTCAGCTCTCTCTGCTAGTCCCTTAATACTTTCTTGCTGGGAAATTTCATCCACTTTCACAGTTTCAAAGGGCACCATGTATGTTGATGCTACCAAACCTCGACCTCCATCGAATGCCACTGTCTGAGCTGCTGGCTCGTACAAGAGCTGCCCCCACTTAGCATTTATGCTCATGTCACACGGAGCCTACCCAAGCCTGAGTTCCTCCCATTCTCTGCTCCCCTCAAGCCCACTCTTCCAGCTTCCATCGAGGTCCTGAAGGCGAGCCCGTCCTTACTGCTCGGTGAGCCTGGGCCACACCCTCCCCTTCTGGCCCTGGTCTCCCGGCCGTCAGCCTCCTGGTTCATTCTATAATCACAGCCAGACATCTCTCAACATCAGATCATTTAACAGTCCTCATTCATGTCCAAGCGTACGAGTCCGCAGGACGTTAAGGACAAAACGCAGCCCCCCTTCGTGGTGCACAGGCTCCTCTGTCTGCCTTAGTTGCCTCCTGAGCACCCACACCCACCTGTGTAGCCCTTCCTCAAACACCAAGTGCCCACACTGCTCCCAGGGCTCCGGACACACTTTTCCCTTTCAGCGGGGAGGTGAGATAACTGAAATTCCTCTGTCAGGACTGGGACCTCCCCTCCCCTCCCTCTCTGTGGTTTGCTCTGCCTCTTACAGCCCCAGGGCTCACTTCTGTTGGACTTACATCACAAAAGCCCCCATTTTTCTGGCCTTTGAGCGACCCAGGGTGGGTAGGGACCATGCCTGTGCTCCAGCTCCTACCACACTGGCCTCACACAGAGTCACTTGCATGCTGATGGCAGACGAAAGGGGAAGCATTTGCTGACAGTCAGGCCTAACAGTAGTAATGCTGAGGCAGGGCTTGCTTTCTCTAGTCCAGGAAAGGGCAGGGAGGAATCGTCTGTGTGCTATGAATCAGCTGACACAGGATGGTGCCTGGGACACGTGGACGTGGCATCTTCTAACCCTGATCATGCAGACCGGCCAAGTTCAGAGGTTTTCAAACTACCGCCTAGCGATGTTAAGGGCGTTAGCTGACCTTTTTGGTTAGCCTCCCATTTCCTGCTCCCTGCTTTTTGGCTATAACATTTACCCATGCACACATACTAAGTTTTACAGACAGATATCTGAACATATATGGAGTGCTCATTTTATGACTTTTATTGTGAAACAGAAGGGCTTACTGAGCCACAGGTAGACACACATGGAAGTTTAAGTTCAACCATGGAGCAACTTGAATAAACTCAGTCAGCTTCTTCAAAGCTTAAATGGGACAGACAGATACATTTCCAGTGCTACTAAGTTAAAATGTCCCCCCCCCCCTTGCCTCCTCCGCCCCCCCTTCCCGCAATCTGGAAGAATGTTTTTAGCACATTTATCCCTTTCCTTTCAGGGCTGTCTGATCCTACACTGAATAAGTGTAATGAAACTAAACTTGGTGGATTCAATGAAAAGACCGTCTAGCGACTCAAGTCCCTTTCCTTTGGAATTCTGTATCTTTTAGGCCTCATCAGTATGCAGGCAACATTTCTCAGGGGAAGCTTACTTTGGGAAAGATATGCTAATTGCACCTACAAACTTTTCCAAGAGATAGTTTTTGAAGAATCTCTACCCAGGCATTGTTATATTTACTTATTTACCTCTTCTGATAAACAATTCGTATAAACGTCACATAATTTCACTATGAACAGATAGAAGTGTCGCAAAAATAACCATATCATCTAAAACACCTACAATGCAGATTATTCAAGGAAAGAAAATCCTTGAACCGAGGTTTCTGTTCATCCACCCCTCCCTACATCCTTGAGTACACGCTCTGAGCTCCAGGACACAGAGGGAACGCATTGGCTACTGTCCCTCTTCTCAGGAAGCTTCTCAGGTAAGAAAGAACTCCAGGCACCAACAGGAGACAGGAGGGCGCAGTCAGTGTGTGGACGTGTCCTCGTTTGATTCATTAGCAGCTTCCTGAGCACCATCAGATGCCAGGCCCTGGCCTGGGTGGGCACACTGTCTTACTGCATCTTCACCAACAGGTTTACGAGGCGGGTACTGCCATTCCCATTTATGGAGGAAAAGATAGTATTCAACAAAAGGGTAAATTTAGTTTCTTCAACTAATGCTGCGATTACATTTCAGAGGAGGAATGTGACCCTGGTCTGTTTGTTTCTACTACCGCATGATCAGCTTGCCTGTTACTTAACAATTACCGGTAAAGTATACGGAGCGCCGAGAGCAGAGTGGTTAATCTTCTTGAGGCCAGTTTACAAACAGTTCCTGAGACGACGAAGTGCCCAGAGCAGCTGACCGTGATGGCAGGTCTGAATGACACTGTCAGGAAGGTGGCACTGAGCGTTTCCACAGATCCCTGTGATGGGCAGCTTTGGCAAAGTGTGTGGGTGTGAGAGTCTTATATCTAAATAATCCCCACTGTCATTCCTGCTCTATTTCTGTTGTCTGTAATGGGAATTACAGACAAGACATTCTTGTTGGTCTGCAATTACTATTCTGCTCTCTGTGATGCACCATTTTCGGAAGACATTGCACATACTGCTGTGGGAAACTCGCAGCCCCTTCCGACTTCCTCTGTTGTGGCCTTTAGCATCTCCATCTGTGTCTGGTACTTTTCTGCCTTTTCTCAAGGTCTTGGGAAATTAGTATTCCCACCCTCCAGCCCTGGAATACCTGGCAACTGTGGGTACTAAATAACTGTTTGTTCAATGAAATAACGAATGAACAAATGAATGAACATTTGCGCGGTGTGCACCAAAGGTGGCAGGTAGTTACAGGTAGTGAGACCTCTAGGTTGAGTACTCAACTTGCATGGTCTTCTTACCAGAATGTAATAAAATTTCAGAGGCTGAAACTACTTGCTCTAAATTAAAGAAACCATTACACTTCTTTTGAATAAACAAGGCAATTAGTTCTTGTTCTATATTTGTAGCTTGTAATAATGCATTTTAAATCGGGCCCGTTGCGTGTGCTTTCATTGGTGATTTTTCTCGGTGTTAGTACTCCATCGTGTGCAAAGGCCTCTCAGAAAATTGAAAATAAAAGTCTCCCCTTACTGATTTTGTCATTTTCCATCTGTCAAACATTGATTTTCTCCCCCCTGTGCATTTAATGGAGGTTGAAATTAGCACCCGTTTTTGTGTGTTGTTTTCTTCTTATTTGTCCACCGTCATCATCATTCGTCAAGCTGCCAATGCGTTCTGGGGACAGCGGGGGTGACCTAACTAAAGCTCATGTCTGCAGAAGAAATATGGTCAAGAGATTTTTGCTACAGCGTCAGCTCTGGCCTTTAGAATTTCTTTCTAGGGAAGATTTCAAATACAGGAGGCATTCCCCAGCAAATAATATTTAAAAAAATAACAAAACTACTCCTTTCAGCGTTTTGATAATCTAAGATCATCTGGAGACTCTAAAGAGAATGAATACTCAGGAGGTTAAGGAACCGACCTCTCCTCTCCAAAAACACATGAGCCCAAGGTGCCATCGCCTCGGTCACTCAGCTATTCCTACTGTGACGCTGGAGGACCTGCTCTGAGCCTCCGTCACGGGGACTGTGATGAGGGCATGACAGTGGACATCAGTGAGAAGGGGAGCTGGGGAAGGGCCGATGGCAGAGGCTGTGCGTGAGATGGGGGCTGTGGCTGGGAAAACATGTTCTTCTGTTTCTGGATGGGCACCTGGCTAGCAGACACTATTGACAGAGCAGTAACTGCGCTGTTGAAAAGGGTCACGCAGCTTTTTGTTTCTTTTAAGTTAGGTTTTCCCAAAGCGTCCAGTCTAAAGCCGGGGACTTGGTGTCGGCACTGTGCGCAGTGCTGAGCTCACTGCTGGCTGCTCAGTGACAAGCAGGACACGGTCTGTCCTACAGTCCTAGCTGCTGCTTCCCCACACCGGGTGGTCTCCTACGGCAGGCGCTGATGAATGAAGCAACACCTGCCTCATTCAAAGAGGACTGAGGTGAGTGGCAGCTTGTAACGTGGCAGGAAGCAGCTGCCTAACTATCGGAGGCTTGGTTACCAGGGAGATATAGTATTTCTTTTGGCACATTTTCTTATATCACTTAGGCAAACTATGTGTATGGTTTTGACATTTCACACTGGCATTATCTTTGTATCATCGAGTACTATGAAATTCTGAGAAACTCGCCAACTGGAACCAGTATGGCACAGGTGTGACGAGCGTGGGTTTGGAGGTAAGGCCTGGGCGCGGTCCTCTGCAGGCTACCTTCTAGCTTCGTGTCCTCGCTGACTCACCTCCCTCTCCACACCTGTTTCCTCATCTGCAAGTGGGGCTAATAATATCTTCCCCACAGTATGACGAAAGGACTAAGTGAGCGCTGTCACTACACTAACCAGGATGATGCTGAGAGCTACCCTCTCACATGCACTCAAGCCCCTTACAGCTCCAGGCGCTTCACACACATGGGTCCTGGTAGTCTTCCCAGCAACGTGATGAAGGTGCTACTGTTACCCTATTTTTAAGAGGACGCTAAGATGCAGGGAGACATGTGGTCCCCAGTGCACAGTGAGCGCTCATGGCTGTCACAATAGCTATTATACGGGTGGTGTCGGTGGTGAAAGACCCACGCGTGCAGAGGCGGTCGTGCTGTGAATTTACTCGCTGTGGCCAATCCGACGCCCCTCGCCAGTCCCTGCCTCCCCCAGCCCCACTCACTATCACGTCTCCTCCTCTTATAAACTGCAGCCTGGGCTGGATGACCAGCATGTCGCACAGGTAGATGGCATCACACACGATGTCTGTTACAAGCCAGTAGCGTGTGCTGTCCGGTGTTTGATACGGAAAGACGAGACGCAGCGGGATAAGCCAGCAGTTCCAGTTGTAGGCAATGGCGACAAGCAAGAGCCACAGGAAATAGAACTGATCTGGAAAGAGAGCAGCTGGGGTGACCGTGGGGCATGTGACAAGCACTGAAATAATTCTGCTCAGGTTGGCAGGCAGAGCTGGGGTGACGTCCTCCGGAGAGAAACCATTTGCTGTGAGAGGCTCTATTCAACAGCACAATTCCACCTGTAGAGCGGGGGCCCTGGCTTTCCAAGGGCTGTTCAGAGAGCTGATGAGCTCTTCTGACGTTGGAGCATGTCGTCCTGCCTCACAGGGAAGTGGTCACTGAGGCCGTGCCTTCAGGTACTGCACTGTGAGAGTCAGGCAGGGGACACCCAGAGAAGTCTGGTGTGCCCAGGGGAACGCAGCAGCAGCTTCAGGGTAGGGGGCCCAGAGGCCACACCTCCCCTGAAGGGCAGGCTCAAGTGGGGAGGGCAGTCAGCCCAGGAAGGCCGCCCATAGCCCTTCCCACCGTGCTTCCCCCGCCCACGGGAGGCCGCAGAGGGGGCTTGTTCAACGAGGATAACTAACAACATGAAGCCACGGGAGGAGATGACACTGCATGGTGATTTTTTGGGAGAGGGGTGTCAGCGTCCATGATGCTGAGAGCTCTGGGGGGTTATTTTCAAAGGTAATTAGGGGCAGGACAGACCCTGCACTGCCCTTTAAAAGCAGGCAGGAATATTTTATCTCTTGTCTTCATCAGAGAGGGGCAGATGACCCGCTGTGTACTTAACGTAGTTTAATACGGTTTGAATGCCGCTTGCTCGATAGTCAGCACGTGGGCTGGGGAGGACAGAGACCATCAGTCCTCCCACGGGGACGGTCCACCTCTGACGTACCTGTGTATGCATCTATGCTTCTTGGAAGTCTGATTCGCTTGAGGTAGTCTGTCAGAGGCGTGTTCTCGAGTTTACAGCACAACATGTGACAGTCATCTTCTTTTGGCTGAGCATTTTTTTCTCGTGTGGGTGATATGGTTGTGGGCTTTGCTTTGTGGGGGAAAAAAAAGATGAAAATGTTTTTAATAGGTTAAGTTAGCTTAATGAGCAATGAGCTTGGATTTCTGGAAGTCAGAGCATTCCAGAATCTTCCCCTGTCAATACAGGCAGATGAGGCATTTTATGACATTTAAAATCGTGACATTTCTGAAAATACCCAGGTAATGAAAACGCTGGGGCTTAGAAATAAACAGCAGGTGTAAAGTACACTCACAAGTTATGCCGAAAGCGTTACAAATGGGATATTTTAAATATGAGCTTGATTCTCACATATCTTGGAGCATAAACAAAGTCAGTGCTTTGGATTTACACGGAAATGAAACGTTACAAATGGACGCTCGTCCACAGCTTCCACTCCATGCTTCTTTAGTCTTGCACAGATCCTTCCAGTTATAGATAAATAAAGCCCAAACTGTTCTTTCCACCATAATGTTATCAAACTATGACGACTGCTTTATTTTGGCCTCCTCTTTAAAAAGAAAATCTTATATAATACATAGTTTATTTTGAAAATCCAACTTCCCTTATACAGAATTCTGAGGAAACCCCCAACTCCAGCCTGTGTAAATAAGCTGGACTTTTATTTAACTGGTATTAAACTAGCCTTCTTCCATATTCGTTTGCACATATATAAACATGTGACAGATGTGATTGCGGTGTGCGTCACTTCTGTGCTCTCCTTTCGTGTACTCGCTAGCTTTGATGAGCCCATTTCTGTAATTATTAGGGAGGCTGACAACGGTCCGTCCCCTCATGGGATCAGATGCTGGTGTCCTCTGCTCTGTTTGCCCTCAGGTAGCGACCCTGTATTTCTAAAGTGCTCTGTACACTACGGGTATCCGTCATCACTACGCACAAGAACACGCGCTACCGCGGGCCTGTTAGCCTGCGCGGACACGGTGGGCTCCGGGCTCCGGGGAGGCCCCGCCCGAGGGTCTCTTCCCAGCCGGCCTGCCCACAGTGCCAGGTGTGGCCACGCGCCCAGCAGCACCCCTCACCCAGCGAAAGGCAGCACAGGTGGGCCGCTCCCCAGCTGCATGCTCCCCCAGATTCTGAGCAGGGTCCAGCCGGGCGGGGCCACGGCAGCGACCGGCTCATTCATGCCGCCTCTCTGTCTCAGCTCCTGTCTGTCTCGCTCTTGCCGGCTCTCACGTTCAGTATCAACCATTCGAACCTAAGTCACTGTCTCTGGGTCTGCTTTTGGGGAACCCAAACCAAGACATTTACGAAGCGCACGTCCCCTCCGAACTTCCCTCCTCCGAGCACTGTGCAGCGCCGCGCTTACCGGCTGGGGGGCTGGCCTCGGGGGAGGCCGGGTCTCCTTCCATCAGCCGCCGCCTGTACAGGGCTGTCCTCTGCCGCATCCGTCTCACCAGGCCGTGCAGCTGGGCGTCGGCGTGCGCACTTATCACAGGGGCTCCACGTGCTTTGCTTTTTGGACTGAAAGAGGAAACAATGGCGATAGAGACGAAGTCTATCTAGGGATTTAGTCTTTCCATCTCCGCCGTCTGCTCAAGATTGACCGCTCCTTTCGCAGGCTGAGGAGGACAACCCAAGCATTAAGCTGATGGAGACGGTGCTGGTGTCCTGCGGCGTGCCAGAGGCATAACCCGCAGTGGGCGCGAATGGCCGTTCCTGACCACACTGGATCCTGATGGCCGTGATTTGGCCACTAAATAATATCATTATAAGAGAAAAAAGTTTTAGCTGGCTCGGTAGGCAGAATTCTAAGATGGCCCTGGATGTAACGTCCTGCATAATCCTGGGGACATGAAGGCGGTGGGTTTTACAGCTGGAATTAGTTTGTGTCATATGGCTTAGCTGACTTGAAGGCAGGATTATAAAGGTGAGCATCTCTTTAAAAGCAGTTTCTCCAGTTGGCCTCCGAGCAGAAAGTCAGAGGTTTGAAGCACAGGAGGTTTTTATGTGGAAGGAATTCTGTATTTCTGACTTTTGAGAAAGGGGTCCCTGATAAGAACTGCATGAGGCCTCCAGAGTTGCCAGCTGATGGCAGGGACACGGGCATGGAGTCCTACAGCCCCAAGGAACTGCATTCTGCCAGTGATTTGAACGGGCTTGGAAGGAGTTTCTTCTCAGTGCCTCCAGGTAGGAGCCCAGCCAGGCCTGGCCCACACCTGGGTTTCGGCTGTGGACGACCTTAAGCAGGGAAGCCAGCCAGGCCCACCGGCCTTTTGATCTGCGGAGCTGTGAGCTATTCAATGCGTGTTGTTTTAGTCACTAAGTTTGTGATAATTTGCTACACAGCAATAGAAAACTCAGGTATCTAGTGTGCGTTAATGAACCTCCCTTCTAACGGACAAGCAGACCCACGCAGGGTATTAGACGTACCGCAGTACACTTCATATAGAGCTGAGCGTTCACACGGTCTTCCTCAGAGCTCTCACTGACTGCCTCCTTTCTGAGGTCCTCACGTTCTATCCACCCGCCCCTCCTCACACCCGTGCCTGCCCCTTCCGTCGCTCTGTGAACTGGGTGGGACCTAAGGGGCTCCCATGGGGCCTGGGTGCCTGTGGGTTCTATTTAAGCAGCATCTCGGATGAGCCCCTCTGCACTGGTGCCCAGTGCCCCCCTAGGCACACACAGCATCTCTGTACTTGCTTACAGGGTCCCAGACCACTGGTACCTTTCTTTCTTCCCTTATTATCACAGGATAATTTATACCTCTTTCAAATGTCCAAAGTCCTGCCTGAGCATCAAGATTCTTCAAAGGCGTCCCACTAAGACCTTTATTGGTCTTCTCTAGAACGGTGAAGACTGAGCTGCAGTGGAAGAAAATCTGTACAACTTGAACAGCACAGAAATGGGGGGGGGGCGTGCAATATGCCCCCAACCAGAAACACTTTTTTGTCTTATGATTAAGATGCATTGTGATGTGTATCATTTCACAGATTTCTTCTTAGTATCTTAGCATGCCTAGAAGTTTATTCACTAATTTATTACCGGTTACTGAGCTTCTACTGTACGCACCGGAAATACGAAGGCGAGCTGGACAGGGACTAGCCCTGTGGATGCTCATCGCTTCCTGAGAGGCCAGGCTGTACGTAAGTAAGGAAGAACACAGTGCTGTGCTCACAGGGAACTTGGCCTGGGCATCGAGGAGAGGCTTCCCAGAGATAGCACCCAAGTCTGACAGGGTTAGGGGGCCTGTGGCAGAGGAAGGGAAGGGACTTTCAGGCCTGAGCACAATACGCTCCAAGAAGTGGGAGAGCATGACGTGTCAGCAAGCGTTGGGTGTGGCTGGGACACTGCGCGCACGGGGGTGTGTGCTGGCTAGGGGGAAAGGTGAGTGGGCCAGGTTAGGATGGCTCCTACATGACCCACTCAGGAGTCTGGACATAACTAGGCTAATGGAGCCCGTGTGAGCCGGGCTGGAGAAGCGGCGATGGTGGTACAGCTGAAGAGGAACAGCGTCAACACAGGGGGCAAAGAAAGAAGAGAATGGTTTGGATAGAGCTGAGAAGGGAAAAGAAAGGGCTAAAGAAGTATGCATCTGTAGGCATCAAAGGATTTGAACTTTCTGGATCTTTTGGACTAGTCCAAATAAGGAATCAGGAATAACTCCTAAATTTCTATTACAAGAGACTAGATTCACGAAGATGACATTAACAGAAACAGGAGTTCAGAAAGGACATGTATGCATGCAGTGGGTGTGGGGAAAAACGAGTTTTTTTGTACATATATGTTCAGTTCCAGGTGCCTGAGGGACCTGATGTGACAGGACCTTGCCTGTGATGACCACAAGGCACTCAGAAACACCGCTCTGATGACAAGATGTTGGTGTCATCAGTGGTTATGTGGTGTTTGAAGAGATGTATGAAGGTGACATCATCACAGACTGAGGTTCTCAAGGTCAAAACCTGTAAGTTTTCTTTATACTCCACAAGAGCTAGGACATGGTAGGTTTTTAATAAGCTCTTATTGACTAAATAAACCCACTTCTTCTCACCTTTTGTTTGACCTTATTTGATGTGCCTCAATGCATTGAAAAAAAATCTATAAAAAGTGAAGTTGAAGGTTGGTGGATCATTATCTGTAAAGTCAGATATTCAAACTGTCAAAATGTCTAATTCGAGCCCTAAGACCTGAGTGGTTTTTTTCCCCCTGGAATTATCTAAAAGATCTAATTGACCATATAATTACCACTTAACCACACCAGTTTGTATTGTGCAAATCTACCTTAACTCTTGGTTAAAATGCTGAAAATTGTATTAGAAAGCATGCCAGCATTTCAAATACATAGCTGTATTTCAACTAGTAGACATTTCCTTTTTTTGTTTTAGCTGAGCATTTATATCAAACTGTTTTGTCTTTTCCTTGTTTCCAGCTGCTTTTCTGGAGTAATCTTTGCCTATCTTCTCCCCTGCCTATATACAAAGAAGCTAGGGATGTATTTTTCTTTAGGTAATTTTGTGACTGAATGGAAGAAAAAGGCAAATAGAGATGAAGGAACATATTTCATGAGATAAACAAAAAATTGAATGGGGGTAAAAGAGGAAACCAGTGGATGTGTCTTACATAACAATGCTTTGTTTGAGCTTATTTGGTATTCCTTCTTCATACTATTAATTATATATTTTAAAATATTTATCATAATTTCTTGATGAAATATTTGGTAAACAGTAAACATACTCGTATTTTAAAAATTTTGATAAACATAGAAAGGAAAGTCTGATTGGATGCTCATCTCTTATTGAGATGGATGAGGCATTTAAAATTTGTTTATGTACCTATGAAAAAATAAAGAATTATTGTTAGAATGATATTTATTCCTTTTTTTGATAAGGGTACAAAGAAAACTCATTTAAAAACAAGTTGATGGAAAACAGTACAATTATAGTAGTATTTCTCCTACGTGAGGAATACTGCTGTAATTCTATTAGAGGGGCAGGCATAGAAAAAAATGATGCAATTGACCGCGGTCCTGTGTTTGGGGACGCAGAGGTGTCTCACTCTGGGGTGACAGAGCATGACGACACTGGGGTGGGCTCATGGCAGTCTCCCTTTGGTGAAGAGGGAGAGTGCCAGTGACGGGCTGGGAAGGAGCCTGTCCATGGGTGTGCTCAGGAATGGCGGTCTGCAGGACAAGTCCACACAGAACACGTGGCTCTGGGAGCTGCTGCTTCCGAAGCTGTTAGGAAGCGTCTGGACAGCGGGCGACGCAGGTTCCCTGGTCTGGGACTGTGTGTTAGTGCCCACAGAGGGTGAGGGATCTGATGGGGGTTGGGCAGGCTGAGTTCACGCGGGGGCGATGTTTGAGTGGAACCTGAAGGGTGAGCAGCACTCGGATCACGTGAAGGGAAAATGCCTCAGGAGAAGCGAACAGCCTGGGAAAAGGTGTGTTCGTTGCTGCCTTGTGGAGCACACGAAGGTGCAAACATTTTCATGTAGGACCCAAATCGCTTCTAATTTGACTTTAAAAGGTCAGTTGAGATCGCTGGGGAATCACAGCAGAGTTCTCAGCAAAAGAGGGGCATTATTAGTTATGTTTCAGAAAAAACAATTGTAAACAGAAAGAAGATAATTAGTTGTGGCAAGGAGGAAGTATGGGAGGGAGGGAGTCGAGTTAAAACATGGGGGTTAATGGAACAGCAGACAATCTCAAATTTGGTCAGAGTTCTGCCAAAATTCATGTCTGCAACTGAGAGTGTGACATGATTTGGAAAAGGGCTTTGCTGATGTAGCTACTTAATTTAAGATGAGGTCGCCCTGCAGTAGGGTGGGTCCTTAACCGAATGACTGGGGTCCTTACAGGGAGGCAGGGGAGTGAAGACAGGGGACACACAGGGAGGTGCCATGTGACAACAGAGGCAGGCAGTGGCGAGGCAGCCACAAGCCACAAGCGCCAAGGCCAGCTGGCCACCAGCAGCAGCTGGGGTTGAGGGCGGGGGTGGGGAGGCTGGAGCAGGCCCTCCTTTGGGCTTTCAGGAGGCGCAACCTTGCTGACACCTTGGTCTCAGGCTTCTGGCCTCCAGAACTGTGAGAGGAAAAATGGCTGCTGTTTTAAGCCACTTAGTTTGTGGTAATTTGTTAGGGCGGCTCGAGGAAACGGTTTTACAGAGTTAGCAGGTGGATAACGGTGATAGCACAGGGGCCACTCATGGGGCGGCATAAGTCGTAAATACATTCCATCAGCATATGTTACACCTGACGTGTGAATGAAGACCAGCGCATTCAGTACCGCAGACAGTTGGGGAGTGTGTGTCTGGCAGGCAGGATGGGGGGCCGCGCTGGAGATGTGGAACCAGGGGTCGCCTGCTGAGAGCAGAGGGGGGTGACACAGCCGGTCAGACAACTGGTAAGAGCCTGCACAGGGCAAGGAAAGACGGGGAGGTCAAACCTTGCAGTTTGCTGACATTCAAGGAGTAGCGTAAGAAAAGGATCTGAGAAATGGCAATTACAGAGGTGGCTCTCAGAGAGAA